GCCAGGGATCGGCGGTGGACATGGTGAGGCGGAAGAAAGTGAGGCAGATTTCAGAGAGCGAAGTGGGAATATTAGACATGGTGGTCCGAATTGATACAGAAATGAAGAAGAAGAATCATCCGAAGATTTGAGAGAGATTATTGTTGTTTATATAGAAATGGGGGAAATCTCCGGGAGAAGTGGAGGAGATAGGTCAAAAGAGGGCGGTGGAGAGAGTTGATTTTCAGCAGCACGCCATGAAAGGATGTTTCTATGAAGGGGAGAGATTTTTTATGGAGTTTTGGGGAATGAAAATGTGAACGATGACGATTCTAGCGACGTCTTTTTGTGATTTATTTCGATGCATTTGGAACTCTCTCCTACCGGTGAAGGTGACTCTTTAGAAAAAAATTTGATAGTTCACTGTTTTAAAAAAATAAACTCACTATTTTTTTTTTAAGATTGTGACTCTTTTGACGGACTAGAGGCTATTTTGGACTCTGACACCAAATTAATATTTATAGATTCTAACGGAAAGGAAGGAGTATATGTCAATTATCCGAGCTCTTACCAACACCAAGTAGGGAGGATGGATACCTAAAGTGTCACCACATTATAAATCTTGAGATTAAATAAACATGGTTGAGAAAGGCTTCAAAATATTGATAGTAACGATCTAGGACTTATGTTAGCCTGTAGGTCATAAACAGGAGAATGTTGGGATCATTGTCAAACTCTTCAATCACGACGTAAGTATTTTTTTCATCTTTCTAGTGACTACTGTTAAAAATTTGAGGGCTATTTACCTTTAGAGTAAAAAAAACATGAAATGATGAAATATCTTCTCTTTCAATTGCCCAAAACATGATTGTAGGTAATATATTACTTGTAAAATTGTTGGGTTTTTTTCTAAAATATTCCACCTTTTAGAGTTGGAAGTTAGAATTAAAAGTACTCATATTGGAATTTTTTTTTTCTTTTGGTACAATACCTCTTGGAACTTAACTAGGTAGATAGAGTTGAAAACATACACCCTTTTTAAATAAAATGAAAAATGAAATCATGCCAGATTTTAAAGTCAAAGCGGATATTATTAATATTATTATAGAGAAACTTTATTGTCTTAACAATAAACTCAGCATATATGATCTACTAAATACTCTCTCGTACTTAATTAAGTTAGTTCGTGTTTTGAAGTTGGTAAGAGCTCTAATTTGATAGAACATGTTTTTCGACTCTTTCTTCGTATTAGTATATGTAAAAGAGATGACAATATGATTACTCGTGGTTGTAAGTTCTAGTTTCATTGATAGAATGATAATCAATCTAGTTGGACGACTTCCTTTATCTCACCTCAATTTAGGTTGTAATTTACTCGTACTGAAGTACTTGAACACAATTCTGCTTCACACTGGTTTTCATATGTAATTCACTAATAATTTTTTACCCAGGATCATTAACGATGCAAGTTATTTAGACAAATCTAAGCTGTGACTATTCACGTAATTTTTTTAAGTCTAAGAAAATATCACACATAAAAATATTAATATATTAAATTAAACTTGACAAAAGTATGTGAAATTGTATATACAATGAATTTTATATTGAATTTTGTACGGTCTAGTACCAATGTTGTTCCAAATTTGACCCTACTCTCCCAACTTTACCATGAACAATATTCAAAATTATTGTTACAAAAAAAAAACATATTTTATTATATTTCAATTAAAAGGAGTCAATTTTTTTTAAATACATTACATAAATATATATAACTTGATTACAAAAATTAGAAAATAAATGTACGATAAATTCAGCATGTTTGACTTTTGATGCAATTGATATCTGATAAAATTTTCGATCTTTTCCTTCGTGGGAAGATATGAATAATATATTAAATAAATAATAAAAGAAATTTGCAAAAAAGTCGGGAGTGTGGTTGACTATTTCAACCTCCAAGAAATTGCCTAATGGGACACGTCAGCACCATTGGAATTATAAAAATCTGTATTATTTATTTTCCATTTTGAGAAAAATATTTGTGTCTGGAAATATTTGCAAGCCGACGTATTTATAATAATTTGAAGAGGCAAATGGTTCTTCTAGAAGTTGAACTCATTCTTATAAACATTTCTCAAAATTATTTTTCTTTTTCATTTCGTTTTTTTAATATTTAGGTTGATGCATAAATTTTGGCCAATCAAAATTATTAAATTTTACACCAAATTTTTAAAATAAAAAGAATTTGACAAAACTTTCAAAATAGAAAAATTACGCTAGCCACACAATAAATCAAGGTTTTATATGAAGCAAGAGTATTTTCCTTTATTTCTTAATCTATTGTGACCAGGATATCTTCTCATATTTGAATTTCAATCCAAATTTTTAAGGGTCAATCAAATTTGTTAGATAAAGGGAATGCAAATTAGAGAAACTAGATTGTTTTCTACTCGTAAATATTTTATTGTTGATTAAGAAAATATCTCTACTTTTTTAAGGTAAAAAAAAAAGAGTGTGATTGGCTAATCATGTTAGCCAAAACTAATTTTGATGTTGAAGTTAGTGGCGGATGAAGCAAAGGTAGAGATTTGTGATAGTCATACTTGATTAGGATGTACTTGGCTTCTAATGGAAGGAGTGATATTTTTATGGTTGGTTTTGATGAAGAGAGACGATTACTGATTATTAGTGTACTCCTCTTGAATTATTGTTTTAATATCAAGATAAGGGTGTACATCAATGTAGTTAAAATCGACCCGATCAAACCAGCGTCAGTGGGTCGATTCTCGATCGACATCGAGTTTTGTCAAAAAATCGATCCGACCAACCAATGTACACCCTTACATCAAAATTCATGTTAGACTCATTGATGGAAATTTTTCCCTTTTAAAGTTAACTTTTAGAGAAGCATTGCTAAATGGTCGTGTTATATTTCAAGACGGGCCTGGACATGGTGAATGAATAAAAATGAAAGATTTTTTTTTTCTTTTTTGTACAAAAATCGTTAGAAAAAATTACCTTGCTAATTGCCAGTTATTAAGCTGGCAAAGGGGAGACGTTTTCATTCGAATAATCAAAATGCGACGTGGTAGCCTTTAGCTAGTTTCCTAGGGAAACACTACTTATCTTGGAGGGTTAAATTCGAGCAAGTTGAAGATCATTGCTTGATCTATCATCTCAACTAATAAATGAGAGAATTTCTTTAGGCAGAACGAAAAATAAGGCGAAGAAATTTTACATAGCTATCTTCTAAATTTCGATGCAATTAAAAACTACATAGCATTAAGTAGCTATCAATGTTTTGAACCATAAACTTAGAAATTTTGCCAATTCAACGCAAAAATGAAAAAAGTGTTAGTTGTTAAAATTAAAATAGAATTATAATTTTGGACTTATATTAAGAAAAAAAAGTTGGAGGTCATAACACGTAACCTTATTTTTTTCAAAGTATTTTAATTCAATAATTAATGTGTTTGATGTTTAAAGGAAGAGAGAGACCGTACTCCGTACTTGAATAGTCTAATGGCAGAAACGTAATTTTGTTGCACACGCTTCACTCTCTAAAACCACCCATCTTTATAAATATACAAAACAAATTAAAAATTATCTTATTTTGGTTTTTTTCTTTCTTTTTTCCTTTTCACTCTCTAAAACCACCCATCTGTATAAATATACAAAACAAATTAAAAAGGAATTATCTCATTTTGGTTTTTTTTTTCTTTTTTCCTTTTCTTTTCGTGCTTTAGACAATACAACGACCGTGGAGATGGAAGTAAGTAGGAGTTCGAATATTCTATATATATTAATAAATTGAGTTATTTTCATGTTGTCTTTTAAATAATATTCTATTAGTTCTGAAATGCATGTTCTTATCTATGTTAATTATTTAAATTAAAATGAGAAATCATTTTAGTTGCTAAGATTTGGTAGTATTTTCATGGTTTTTTTTTCGTCTTCAGTTTTTTGAACCATAAATTATTGGGTGACTTTTCAATTTTTTTTTTTTAAGAAACGTTTCTAAAATTGCGTAGAAATTTTGGATACAACAAAATTAAGTTTTTTGTTTATCGTTTTTTATTCTTGTTTATAATTCTTTCCAAAACATAAATAAAAAATATTATGTTATCATTCTTGACTTATAAAATTAATGATAAATATTAAACAATAAATATGACATTATATTTGTTTTGAATATTTGATTTAAAAAATAATTTTCATATAAAAATAATTTTTCTTAATTTAAAATTTTAGAGAACAAAAAATAATAAGAAGTCTACAAACATATATTTTTATAAAACAAAAAAAAGGAAATAACAAGAAACAAGTAATAATTATCGAATGCATTTATATTTTTATTTATTAAAAAGAAAAAATAAGACCTTAGAAATATAATGAGAAACAATAGACAATAAATAAAAACATTATCAAACGGGACCTAAACTTTTAAAATATCTATATTTTAGCTTTTTAACTTTTTTTTTTAAATTTAGTTTTTTAACTTTTAGAAAATAGTTATTTTGATTTTTTCTCTTATATCTACCCCGTTAATATTCATCTCAACCCGTTTATGTTCGCTTTCATTTGTTTAACAATTTAATTCGCAATGAGAATCAAAATGATTTTTTTTTAAGTGCGGTGCTAAAATATATTAGAAATGACAAATGTAAATGTTGGCAGTCCCCAACTACCAATTATGATGCAATCATACGAAAGGTAAATAAATAAGTTAATTAGAAGAAGTAGGAACTTTGGAGTCACACGGGCATGATTTAAATGTCGATGTCAATAAAAATGTCGAGATTAATTTCATAAAAACGTCGATAAAAATATCGATAAAACGTCAATGTTGATGGATATTTTTGAAAAAATATAACAATCATAAGAAATAGTTGCAACAACAAACAAACATTTCACTATTCTTAAATTTATAGTTTGTTATTTTTTTATGCAATACTAGAAAAATGTCGACGAAAATTTTATATCCTAATAAAATGGATATCAATTACGAAACTCTGACAAGTTAGAAATCCGAAAATTAGTGTGTGAGAAGAATGATCAAGTCAAATCAAGAGTGCAAGAGTCATATACGTTTTGATGGCATATTTGTATTTCTTGCATATAGTAGTAGGATTAGTGCTTAAATACTATTTCCGTGTCCTTACTTTCAAAGTATTTATTTTAGTCTTTATATTTTCAAAATGTCTGTTTTAATTCCTGTATTTTATGAAGGGATCAATTTGGTCTTTTATTTGCAAAACTTCAACACAAATCTTTATATAAAGGAAATCCTAATACAAATATATGGCTACGTTTCAAGAAATTTAATGAATGAAGTATATCGTACTAAATTGTGATTAAAAATATGAGATAACAATGAAAATGAAAGAACCAAAATGATATTTTAAAAAGTATAAGAACTAACATAGACATTTTGCAGGGACTAAAATGAACAAAAATTTGAAAGAACAAAGATCAAAACGGATATTTGAAAGCACGTAGACCAAAATGAATCAAAGTTGAGTGTAAATAATATTTAAATTTAAGAAAGATTGATGATATAGAAAAAGAAAAAAGAATTAAACAATTGTTTTTCTTTTACTATTAAAAAATGAAAAATTAAACAATTGGTTGGTGATGAGGTGACATGAGAATGAAATAAACCTTACAAAATTGTGAGTACGGACTACGGAGAGAGAACTTTCTTTACTCGATTTTACTGGAAAAAGAAAAAAAAACTTTTTTTATTCAATTAAAACAATTTGAAAAAGAGAGAAAAAAAAAGATTACGTATTGGTACTATGACTTCTGACTATTTTCTTAATAAAAAGCCAATAATATATTTCAATTTTCCTTTAAAAACAACATTTAAATTTAGTGTTGATGGCAAAAAACCATTTGAAGTTTTTATCTCCGGAGTAGTTTAATCCTTTATTCGATCTGTCAAAGTGAGTATAATTCAACAGTAATCGATATATATCTCGCCAATTAAGAGTGAGTTCGATCCACCACTCCCACATGTACTAAAAAAATCATTTATTTGATTCATATTATATTCTTTAAAACAAAAAAAATTATAAAGTATATAATCTCTTAAATTTCTTAATTCATCGTGTCATGAAATAGCTAGATAAATGAGGAGATTTGTGGGCGGACAAGTAAACGAGTCAAAATTCTAATTTTTGCGGACAAAAAATACGACAAAATCTAAATATGTCGACAAAAGTAACCTATTGCAACGATATTCAAATTTTGTCGTCATTACTTGTGACGAAATTTAAATATATCTCCAATGTATGTAATTTTTGTCGTCATTTATATGTATGTAATTTTTTTCAATAATTTAAATATACCTCCAATGTACATGTATAAAATATAATTATTTTTCTAAGTTTCACTCCTTCCCTTTCAAACTTTTACGAAAAAATGTAATAAATTATGAGTTTGATCCATAAACTTCTAGAGTTTATCCAATAGGTTGCTAAACTTAAAAAAAATATCTAATAGATGTTTAAATTTTCAAATTTTGTGTTTAATATAAATCCCGAATCTATTAGATTATTTTTAGAATTCAAGAACCTAATTGACAAAAAGGTAAAAGTTTAGGGCCAAACGTTTTCAATTCTTATTTCTCCGTACTCGATCGATCCCGTCTAAGGAGTATCAAGATTCATGAGGGTCCATCTCAAAACCAATCCCTCTCTTTTCAATGTGGGATATGTGGGATCTTTAACATGCCACTCAAGATCGTGGCTCTTTTAGCTCAACGATCTTGGTCGAATCCCATTTTTGGACGATTGCTCGTTTGAACATTTTGCGCTCTGATACCATATCAATATTCATGGAATCTATTTCAAAACCAATTGGTCATGAGAGAAGTAACTCACTTATATTGTAAATCATTGTTAGGTCCCCTCTCTTTTCATTGTGGGATCCTTAACAAGGAGGTACTTGCAAAACCAGACTCAACAACGGTGTAGTGCTCAACCTAACACCCGCCAAATACCTAAGTTAGTGCTTGGATCACAGTAAAGCGAGTAGGGGAGCAAGAGTATTTTGTGTGCTAGAAGTTAGCATAACTTAGTGAAGAGTTTTCATTCTCCTTCTATGGAAGATGGATCCCTCGATATCTGGGTCATACCTCGGTCCGAGAACCGTCCATCAATCCTGAAAGATCACAAATGGTAGAATCATTCTTCTACCATTGGTCGGCGATCGACCTAGTGTTGTCTACCTTAGTTGGTCCCTGTAAAAGTTTCATAGTTCCCTATGATTCTCACAAATTATCCAAAATGACTTTGGTTGATTTTGGCGGATGTACTTTTAAAGCGTTAATCTTGGTCCTTATACTTTCATCTTTTGTTTATTTTTAGTTTATATACTTTTGAAATTTTCATTTTGATCCTCGTACTTCAAAACGTGGCAATTTTTATCCATTCATTTTTATTTTTATATAATTTATTTTGATCAGAATTTTAGCATGATACTTCAATTACTAAATTTATTAAAACATAACCATATATTTGTATTAGAGAGTTTCTATTGTGTATAAAATTTGTGTTAAAATTTTGAAAAAATTGTCATTTTATAAAAACACATCAAACAAAAATAGACGTTTTGAAAGTATATAAATTAAGATGAATAAAAGTTGAAAGTACAGTAATGACCAAAATAAACCTTTTAAAATTACATGAACGTACCAAAAATATCAAAATAGTATTTAAACCTTAAACACTCCATCAGACCAAATTAAAATTATGCTTGTAAATTAACCTTAATAATGTAGAAGAAAGCTCCAATTAATGGTTTCAATTTTTGCTCGAAAACCCTAATTAATTTTAATAATCGAGTTATATTTCTTCGAGTTTCATAGCGGGATAAATACCTCAATTTAGGGTTTCGTTGGCGAAACGAAGCCGAAATTTGAAGACAATGGCGAAGTTCAATGTAGTTCAGAGGCAGAGACGAGCTCACAAAGCTCAGGTGAAGAGGGACGTCCATGGCGATCCCTTGACCAAGAAGCTCAAGATCAAGAAACAACCTACTTATGTATCCAGCAAGCGCAAGCGCAAGTTGATGAAGAAAAAACGCAGAGTATGGTCTCCTTTCTGTGCTCTTGCGCTATATAGTTCAATGGAAACTGGAAAGTACTCGAGATGCGAATTAATTGTATTTTTTTCTTCGTTTCTTGCTAATTTCAGGAAGAAAAGGAAGCTTCGCAGATGGGTCTGACGAACATGGAAGATGTTGAAATGGCTGTTGCTGAAGGTAACTCGTTTAGATATTTATTGTTAATCGTTTTGCTTAATGTGACAACAAAAACTGGGATGCTAATTTCATATTCGAAGGAGCTGTTGGAGAACATTGAATATATTTTCTTTCCTGAGTATTTTGTTTGTTGGTTTAAGCGTAGGCCGGGTCAAGTAATTCGCGAATGACCTAATGTATAGAGTGCATTTTGGCTATAGGCAAGAATACTCAACTTGCTAGTTTAGTTTCTTCTAATCATAGAAGCTCTAGACATATTGTAAAAAGTGCTACTTGATTTTTGTGAGTTTAGAAGTGAGAATCACTTGATAAAGGAACTTGAACCATCTTAGAATCCCAGTAAATTATTGTCGCTGCCTTGGCTTTTTCCCCCTCCTCCTCAAGTGCAAGGAACTTGTCAATTAATGGAACAGTTGTTGAAGTTGGAAAGATATATTTTTCTGAATGTTTTGTGTCTAAGGGCAAAAGATTGGCTTTGAATCATGTTTGTGAGAGAGTTAAGGAGAACAAATCAAATATATTTTACAAGAAAAGTATACAAGTATAGGCACTGTGATTTCTTTCTTATTATTATGATAAGAAACCGAGAATTTCATAGATAAGGTATACAAAAATAGGATGAAAGCCAATGCCCCAAGTCATGGAAGATTGGATAGAACTCTTCCAAGTGGCACATGGATCGTTTAAACTATTGTTGCTGAAGGGGACATATATTTACACATGATGGAGTCGCAAACAACAAGTTGTCAAGAAAGGTATCAAAAGTCTTCTCTATGCTGTTAAATGTTCTGTTATTTGTTTCTAGCCAAAGATTCCGAAAGAAAGCTCGAATATATTGAAGCCATAGAACATTTTTTCCCTTGGTGCATGGATGACCTGTCATGACAAAATGGAGAAGGTCCTGTGCATTGAATAGGAGAGCCATGACAGATTGGGAATCTTCTTTGCCAATTTTCACTGTGCTTTTGATTTTTTACCATGCTTGATTAACGGGATGTTCTGCCATTTCTCGTACTGAACTTTAGAACTAATACTTGGAAAGATGATTCTATGGTTAAATGTTTTGTGCAGCTAGTAGTCCTCGAGTTCTCTCACGTGTGTTTGTATAAAGTATCTTTGGAACCAACAACTTCTTGCTCCACCCACATTTTGGATCACTTTTGGCATATTTCCCACTTGTTACAAAATGCTTGTATTTCTTGTCGAAGTAATTGAGAATCATTTGTGTGATTTACAATATTCACAATTTTGGTTGGATCCCATTCGACAGCGAATGGTGCTAACCAAAGTTCTCCATCTACCATTTTATTTATCCATTTTCTCACTTTCAAGAAAATATGACCTATGGAAACTGAAACTTTTGGTTGCTATGTATGAATCATCAATTGGTGACAACTTGCTTGAAACTAGCCTTCACTTCACATTTTGTGCTTGATTTCTTCCACTCTGACTGAAAGATTACTATTATTTCTTAAAATGTGCAGGACTTAAAAACACCAACCGTACGTCGACCAAGTTCCATATGAAGAAGAGCGTTAGGCTCAGGCAATTAAGGAGCAAAGAAGGCAAGTTTATACTCTTTACCATATTTCTTCTCCCAATTCATCTTTTGCACAACTTTCCAATAAATCTGTCGTATGTTTTGAAACGTGCAGGTAAGAAGAGTATAGGAAAATCTTCTTCCAGTTCAGTTTCTGCAGCATCAGGCGATGCTATGGTAGTAGAATAGGTGATGAAAAAGTTCTTTTTTTGGTTATATTTTGTAACTGGATGCCCCTACTTCTACTGTTATATTATAATGGCTCGTATTGCTGCAAATATTTGTAGCTTTGAAGGAGAAGGTTCTAATCAAAAGTTAAGAATTGAACTGTAAAAAATAAAGATGTAGATTTGATCCAACAAGAAACACATAACTAAATACCAAGGCTACCATAGCATCGCCTCTTAACAACCTTTAAAATCCAGGTTTAAAATCTACGCTCCATAATAATTATTTGATATATAGATTCAATATGTGTTTGTAATTTTTCTTATACAACTAATAGTATAAAATTATTAGTTCTATTTTTTCAGCCTCCAATAATTTATCAGATCTCCCTTTTTGGCTTATAGGAATTGCTTCTACCTACTCTTTTGTGAAGGGCAAACTGCATTTCATTTTTATTTCCATCATTTTCAAATTTTAATGAAATTCTTTGATTTGATACAACAAGTGGGGATGAACTCAGATTGCTTAATAAGAGATAAGTGTCAATTTAAGTTGGTTGCGAGGTTTTGAGTCATTTAAAAAAAAGAGGTAGTTAAAAAGAAAAAAATCTGGGGTGCAAAAAAAATTACACGGTAAAAATGGAAAGGATGGCATAACAATTTTTTATTAGAATGGTAAAAATATGAGCACTGTTCAAGAATTTCCTTCCCTTATATTAGGTGGTTGATTTTGACAGCAAAATTTTAGTATAAAAAAACCAAATTTAGATCCCTTGATTAAAAAAATCAATTACATTTTGTTATTAGAAAACTAATGCATCGTTAAATCATTGTTTTATTAATACACGTAGATATGACACTTCAAAATGAAATAAAATTTATTGATAAACAGATTTCAGCTTCATATTTTTAGTAATATAGATATGTTCATGTATCTTAATATGCTAATTAATATGAACTACACCCATAAACTAAAATAGAATTTAACCCTCAATTTAATTTTATGAAAATTACCTTTCTTAGACATCTATTCTTTTTCTCTCTATTTTTTTTCTTGGACAAATTATAGACATCTATTCAATGCAATAATTAGGTTAATGGATGAATCCTATTTCTCAATGATAAGCTAATGGGTATACTACATAAATATTTAAAGTATCCATACTTTTTGAAAATTCATGGAAATTGAAAAAACACACTCATAAAATATGTAGTTTAAGCTCAATTCATATAGATTCTTGATCTCCTAAAAAACCATTACTTTATATGGATACTTGATGTTAAAATTCATTTAATCACTACTGATCATACATCTTAGTACGAATTGTATGGTTGGGAATATTTCCATCCATTCGTAAATGACTGTTGAAACTACCCCGAAACCAACTTTCTGCCAGTACAAACCCCGAATCTTACAAGAAAAAATGAAAAAAAAAAAAGACAAAAAAATCTATACCATGATCGCTGAAGTAGAACAAAAGAAATCAGATGAGTAGAAAGGATAAATAGTGATAAACGAAGCCTAATACTAAGGATTAAGGGGGTATGAAATCAAACCATGCTTCTACCATCCTTTACAAACTGAACCGAACCGAACCGTAAGGATTATGGAAATATGAAAATGGGAATGGGAGGCCATCCAGTTATCTCCTGAACATACCTGAAGATTGAAGCGTTTTGGCATACTCCATTACGATGGGAGAACTCTTCACTAATTCCCATATCTTCGCTGAGTTTTTTAACCAATCACGTTCCGAGACTGTCCTCGAAAATGATGCACCGTTCATCGATAGAACCTGAAGATGCCAAGTTAATTGCTTTTCAAGCATGGCAAGGATATAAACAAAGGAGTTAAAATCCTATTTTAATCCATTTCTGTTTTGGTTCTTGAACTTTCAATTGTTTTGTTTTAGTCCCTTGATTATATGTTATGTGTAGTCTCAAAAAACTATTTATCTTCACGAAATCTTCTATTAGTCCTTTAATGAGAACTTAAATCTGTTTGGAAATCCAACATGTGGCTTCAGATACTAATCTATACAGATATTTATTGATACAACAAATAAATAGAAGATATTTCAGTGTCTCGTTTCTGTTTAATAATTTAAGTTAAATTACAAGTTTCATCTCTAAACTTTCAGGATAGAGCTTAATAGACCCTTAAATTTTAAGAAGTGTCTAATAAATCCATGAACTTTGAATTTATTGTCTAATAGATTCATGAATTTTCACTTTTATATCAATTATCAATTTTGTGTCTCACGGGTCTCTGTCCTATTAAACACAAAATTCAATTATTGTATCTAATAAGACCCGACACAAACTTGAAAGTTCAAGGAGGTATTAGACACAAATTTGAAAATTTAAAAACCTATATAGACAGAACTCTAAAAGTTCAAGAATTAAACTTATAATTTAACGAATAATTTATAATTAACAACAATGACTGAACTGGTTTCTGATGCAACGTTGATTGACTCAGATAATATGTTTCAACGTTTAGAGACTAAAATAGAATAAGCATAAAACTCCGGACCAAGACAGTTTTCCTGTACAAAGAGTAAATCAGAGATAGGGTTGCAAGAGAATCACAAACCTGATCCCTCAACTTCCACAGAGCTAAGTTAAAACTTTCATATTGTCCTCTGGTAGAGTCATCCTTGTTCCAAATTGGGATCACCACCAGCCTTCGGTCTTCACCATCTACATCTAAATTTCTAGCATCAGGAACCACACTGGAAACTGGTTGCTCGCTATGGCTCTTTTCAAATTTGTCTCCCATAAATGAACAACTCCTGAAATACCGTGCAAACGCTCTCTTTAGTTGCAAGATATTGTGTGGAACTAGATCTCGATCTTGTACTCTGCACATGATTTTAGCAAAAAACCAGACCACCAATCAGTTAAAGAGAAATTAGACTGCATATTTTCAAAAAGCGTCACAACTTTTCATTTCTTTTCAAATATAACGTAAATGTGATTTTTCTGAGTGCATTCAATTGGATTATGCTACCTATGTAAAATTTCAAACTTTCTGTATTCCATGTAAATGTCAATGTTTAATGGCTAAGAATTGTTCAAATGGGAACTGGAAAATTTGAGTTCTGAATTCTAATGGTGCATTGTCTTGCAAATCTTATTTCAAATTATTAACTAATTCTTCTATTACTCTAAACCATAAACCTCCTGATATTGTTTGGTTCATTGAACTCCTGATCCATGTGATTGTCAATAGTTTCTTAGCCTAGAGACAGCATTATCCTATATACTGCACATTGTACATCTATCTTGTTCTATATCATTTGAATATATTGTTTCCGATAAAGGAAAAAAATTTCAAAAAAGATGATAAGGTTTTCACTCACTTCGCATGGACAAAGATTGGAGTTGCCATATATTCTTCAGTTGTAGAAGTTTTATCTTTGTATTCCTTCTCGGATCCAGCATTAGAATTTGGTGGATGAGAAAAAATAGGAGAAGACGGATCGGGCAAGCCATGTTTAAGCAAATCAACCTGCAAAAAATAATAGTTCCCGATAGCATCAAATATCGAAAAGTAGCAATTGGTAACCAAGAATTGAGTGAATATGGTACATAAATGACACTGAAGGAAGTTTCATCACATAATATTGCAAAAAACAGATCGAGATAAAGGTTACTACTTACCGTTAACATCAAATTCCACATATTTAGATCATGAAATCCCTCTGATATCACAAGGACAATGTGACAAATGGACGCTAGAAGAATGCCCAGCTAAAAGAATCCTTGCAGAATAATGCAAAGAAGTTTATAAGATGATATTTTTGATGCAATAAGCCACAGAAATAAAAGGATCCGACGAGGTAATAGCGTTTTTCATATAATACATGTAGTGAAACTGTAAACCTCTTCAAAATTCCTATCCACCCCCTAAAACCCCTCCAACAAAAAAAAGAAGAAGCCTCCTTTTGAAGTTACCTGGATACTCATTAGATCATGAGCCAATTCAGCAGATAGAGATTCGCCACTAATAACTGAAACAGTGGATGAACCATCAGGTCTCATAATTTCAGCTAAAACAGAAGGACTGAACAAAGGCTGCAACAACCAAATTATCAAGCAAAATTGTAAGTAACAAACAAAAACATAAAGCTCCAACTCTCACATGGCGCACAAGAGGATGATTCATAAAAGAATTAAAAACATATGCAAAAGTTTGGAAGATTTATGCATCATCGCCATTAGTCAGTCACTCGAGAAACAGAAGTAAACGATACAGCCCATAAAAGAATATTGTTCTTTCACTTTGGCTGTTTCAGTTTAATTTTATGAACTTTTTTATTTCATCCAGACCAGTGAGATAAAGGAAATTTTCAAGCAAGTAATCAATCAAAGAGGTTCTTGAAACTAAGAATTGAACAGTACTACAGCTAGCAAACTGGTAAGATATAATTGTGAGAATATACCTGATTCAGTTATCCTAAAAAATGGGAAATCATGTATTTATCCACACAAATACCTGATTCAGTTATCCTAAAAAATAAATGGCAAAGTGAAGTGAACTGAGTGTTCCCAGTCTTCAACTAACATTCAACAAAAACATTCACTAGGAGAACACCTGAGTATCCAGAAGTATGATCCTCTCAGAAGAAATTCTGGGCTCAATACCCAACGTACAATGCCTAGCCATTGCTCTAACATCTTCGGATAGCATCGGAAACAGCGGTAGCATACCTGCAACATGTACAGAAGGATGGCACCAATATTAATGGAAAGGATTGATGGGGAATGAAGAACCTTTTATCCATAACAAGAAACAGAATGTTATACCAATACTTGGCCCTTGCGGCCTTCACGATTTTCTTGATGAAAATGGCTCACAAACATTTTCTATGTGGGGAAAATGTGAGATAAATATTGAAGAGGACAAACAATAAAGAACTTGCAAAATAAATAATGAAAATAATAGGATGAACATTTGATTTGTGGGATACTTTTTTGAATGAAGACCAACTTTCATTAAGTTGCATGAGGGTAAAAATAGGAGAAGTTTGTACAAAAGAAGGCCTAGAACCAAAAAATTACAAGCAAGGGCTTCATTCCTTA